TCCAAGGAGATTGAGTGGGCTCTAAATGTCCAAGGGCTAGCTGTATATCAACTAGAGCTTTAGCAGCAGTTAATTTTTCAGAGGTTAAAGGCCATTGAGGAACCCACACGGCGTCCTCTGATTTCCACGGTATGGGTATTGCATCCTCAATGGCCCCTAGGAAAAAGCCAGCCCTTTTGTGCTGGTCTGACCTTTGGTCTCAATAGGTTGGGAAATACCTTGATGAAACTTCCCCAGGCCAAGCCCAGGAACATATCCCATGTCTTTCATCATTTTCTGACTCTGAGCAGAATATTCATTGGTTAGTCTTAATTCCATGCCCTTTAGGATGTCTCTTCCCCAGAGGTTCACTGGTAATGGTAAAACATAAGGCTGAAATCTACCTTGTCTTCCCTCATGATCTCTCCACACTAATTCTTTTGCACTTATGCTAGGAGTGGCTTCATACCCCAATCCTTGTAATGAATGAGAAGCTTTATTAAGAGCCCATCCTTCAGGCCAGGCTTGACTGGCGACTATGCTCCTATCAGCTCCTGTATCTAATAGTCCAGAAAAGGTTTTTCCTTCTATAATAATATCAAGCATCGGCCTATTATTCATCTCCAGGGAAAGGCAAGAAATAGTATTCCCAGTGGATCCCAAACCCTTTTTTCCCCTAAGATTGTTTTTACAAGAAAATTGGTTATGTAGGCTAGGTAATATAAGAAGCTGAGCTATGCGATCTCCCGGGGAGATTGCCACTATCCCTCTGTGAGCAGCACACAAAATTTTCACTTCTCTCTCATAGTCAGAATCTATTACTCCAGGTGAGACTAATAGACCTTTAAGTATGGAAGAGGACCTTCCCAATAGAAGGCCCACAGTATCATGTGGAAGGGGGCCACTAAAATCTGATGGAATCGGCTGAAACCCCATTTGTGGAGTCAGCACTATTCTGATAGTGGCACGGAGGTCAAGTCCTGCCGAACCCGGAGTGGCTCGCCACGGTTCTCTGGAGGCCTCAGTCTCACTGGAGTCTGAGTTTTGAGTGCCCCATACATTTGCGGGCCCTGGGGACGAGGGCCCCCCTGCCCATTTTTTGAATGGTGTTTTTGGGTATGGCCTCTCAGAGGCTTGCCTTCTAGATCTCTCACCGATTTACACTTGTTTGCCCAATGGTATCCTTTTCTGCATCTAGGACATATCCCTGTCTGTCTTTGCTTCTCATTTCTACCTGTTCTTCCTTTTGGGCAGTTTCTGCGCAGATGTCCTGGCTGGCCACACTGAAAACATGTCCTCTGCTTTTGAGAGCGAGAGGCTGCTAGTACTGCTGCCGCCAGCCCCGCGTTAGATAACGGTCCTCCTATTTCTCTACAGGCTTTCATCCATGCCTGAAGACCTTTACTTTTCCATGGTGTTATAGCATTCCTACATTCTTTGGTACATTGCTCATATATTAGTTGTTCTATTAATGGCATAGCAGTCTCAGCGTCCGCAAAAATTCTTCCAGCTGCCTCCATCATGCGAGCCACAAAGTCTGAAAATGGTTCATTCATTCCTTGGATGACCTTAGTTAAGTTTCCTGATATCTCGCCTTTATTAGGCAGACTTTTCCAGGCTTTTATGGCCAATTGATTAGTCTGTTCATAGACTTGAAGTGGATATGCTGTCTGATTTAGCTGCCATTGACCCTGGCCTGTGAGCATATCAAAGTTCCACTGAGGCTGACCATTGGCTGCATTAGTCCTAGTCTGTGCTAGGCATAGATCATGATAAATAGATTTCCAATCCAAGTATTGTCCCATAGTGAGACATGCTTTAACTGTACTTCCCCAATCCGCAGGGGTCATTGCCGTGTAGGCAAGGCGCTCTACTTGAGCCTGAGTAAACGAAGCATTTACTTCATAAGTTTTTACAGACTCTGCAAGGTCTTTTAATTGCGTATGACTTAATGGCTCATGATATCTTGCATTAGTATTAGCGTCCTGAAAAACTGGGAAGGCCGCTGCCAGCTTTCTTCTTGCAGCTGGTGTACAAAAAGATATGCCCTCCTCACTCTTATCACCACCAGTCTTTGAAATCACCCCATATGGAGGCGGAGGAGCAGCTGGTGGCAGATAGAGGCTGGGCCGAAAGCGTTCCTGCTTATACTCAGCCGCTGCCTCTTCTAGATTTATGTCCTCCTCAAGATCTAGCTCTGAATCCCCAGAGCTATCTATTTCTAAAAGCTTAAATTCTTGTAGAGGCGGATAGATGTTACTTTGCGCGCGCTCCGCCTCTGGATCCTTATGTTTTCCTTTTTCCTTTTTAGAGCTCTTTTTCCTTCATGCCCCTAATTTTTCCTCTATTTAATTTTGGGCACGGGCCCCTGACTCATCTCCTTTTTCTGTTTCTGACATGCTGTCTTGATGCTTAGCCAGTGCACACTGCCCTTCACGTACTGCCTTCTCACAACGTTGGTCTTGAATACACGCTTTAACTAGCTTCCATAGTGGCTTTGTCCCTGCTTTTAGCTTTCTTTTTTCTGCTTCTCTCTCAATATCTCTCCCTAATTTCTCCCAGCTGCCAATGGTTAGTGACCCCGTTGGAGCAAACCATGGAGCTATCCGATCTATTTCATCAAAGAAGCCTTTTAATGTAGTTTCTGAAACTTTCAGCCCTCGTTCTTTCAAAAGCTCCTGCAAGGCTCTAATAACAGGCGCAGAGTGTCCAACTCCCATGTTGCTCTTTTATCTACAAGAGACTGATACACAGGTCAGCCTGCGAGGTTATATACCCCCGCCTTACAGCTCTGTCAGAAAGCTACTCCCAACAGATGCACTCATGCCCTGGGCGATGGCAATTCAAGCAGTAACAAATCCTCAAAGTGACAACAAAAACAAAAAGTAGGATGACTGCAACAATCACTGGATGAACTCCTAGAACCAGCATGTCTTTTTTCTTTGTCAGGGGCTTACCAGTACCGCCGTTCCGTGCGATCAGTTCTGAATCCTCCCGTAGCTAAGTCGGGGGGTGGGGGGTCTTCGCTGGTGCCTTGTGATGTAAATTGTCCCGGGTGTCGGCACCACTTGTCACACCCGCCTCGCCAGCAAGGATGACGCAACAACAGGATCCTTCTTCACGCACTTTATTGGGGAACACACCATTGATTGCAAAGCGAAAGATCCCAAGCCCGAAATGGGTGCTGCTTAAATAGTTATCACAACTGTGTATAAGTGTCTAATTGGTGCTTCTTGCAGAACTTCATTTACATACTGCTCGGGAGGGTGAGGAGCTGCGTCTGAAAGATACGCAGGCTCACAGCAGGTGTTTACGACCCTGAATGCAGTTGTTTTCCACCTCAAACATCCGTGACAAGCGCCATCTTCTAATGGCGGCTCCTTACAAACACACTACACGTACACACAGACACATGGCATGCACATTCATTTAAAAAAAAAAAACAAACCTGTAATTCACTTACATTTAAAAAGTGACATTTTCTACCATTTGCCTAATTTTATTTTGCAAATCAGTATGAGTTCTCCATACTCGTGTGCGTTATAAATTATGTTTTTACTTTTGGGAGTCCAGCTTTCTTCTTCCACCTTGCTGAAGCAGGTCTCCTGTTTCTGGAGCTCTGTGGAGACAGGCAGATAGATCCCTGGTGCTCATTGACAGCCAACCTGGCCTATTTGGCAAGTTCCAGGCCAGTGAAAGGCCCTATCCTCAAAGAAACAGAAAATGGTGACCTGCACCAGAGGCTGTCTTGTAGTTTGTACATGCGTGTGCACCGTCATGTACATAGATACACTGACATGTTTGCATACATGTGTGTACGCATACATGCAGATCACTGGTCACCCTCATTTCCTGCATGTGGGATTCATATCCTGAATAATCAGGGAGTGTCTGGCTGCCACCGTCTGCATACCTTCTGGGGTTGACCCACCTTGGGTGACGAGGGCATCAAGAAAGAACAAAGTTTACGCATGAAGTATTCTGAATCTGAACTTCATAATGTTGTGCAACACAAAACATTTTAAATGATGTTATCACTCATGAAATGTGGTTCAGAGGGCTGGAGAGATAGCTCAGGGGTTAAGAGCACTGACTGCTCTTCCAGAGGTTCTGAGTTCAGTTCCTGGCAACCACATGGCAGCTCACAATCATCTGCAGTGGCGTCTGATGCCCTCTTCTGGTGTGTCTGAAGACAGCTATGATGTGTACTCACATACATGAAATAAATAAATAAATCTTTTTTTAAAAAAAAAACTTAAAGAAAAACAAAAAGAAATATGGTGCAGAGAAGTTTCGATTTGGGGATGAAGATCCACCCGAGCTGTACTGCCCGAGAGGAGCCAGGCATTGCCAACTGTCTCACATACAGTCAGCACCTGATGCCCGACATGGGATGGTGCTCTCTAACTCCAAAACCCATGACTTCCCATTTAAGAGTGACGGACCCACTGACCCAGCCATGGAAATGACACCAATCTCCTTGCACAACGTTTTCTCATTTTTGTCCCCTCCCTACTCTGTAGCCATGGAAACGTTAAATAGGTGTACGGGCTGGTGATGTGTGTCAAGTTGACACCAGCTATAGTCAGAAGGGAGGGAAGAGCCTCAGTTGAGGAAATGCCTCCACAGGATCCAGCTGTAGAGCATTTTCTTAATTAGTGAGTGACATGGGAGGGCCCAGCCCACTGTGGGCAGTGCCGTCCCTGGGCTGATGGTCCTGGGTTCTAAAGAAAGCAGGCTGAGCAAGCCGTAATGAGCAAGGCAGTGAGCAGCACTTCCCCATGACCTCTGCATCAGCTCCTTCCTCCAGGGCCCGGTCCTGCTTGATTTCCTGTCATCTTTCAATAATGAACAGGAATATGCAAGCATAAGCCTAATAAACTTCCAACTTGCCTTTTATTCATGGTGTTTAGTCCCAGCAATAGAAACCCTAACTAAGACAATAGACACTGTGTGAACAGATGCTCAGGTCCTACTGGCACTGGGAATGAAACTGAGGTATCATGTGTTTGCTGTCACAGGAGGCGGTGACATTCAGGGATGTGGCCGTGATCTTCAGTGAGGAGGAGCTGAGGCTGCTGAACTCCACCCAGAGGAAGCTGTACCACGATGTGATGCTGGAGAACTTCAGGAACCTCCTGGCTGTGGGTGAGGACGATCCCCTGTGTCCTTGGCAATGTCAGAAGCTCACATCCCATGTCTGTTGCACTCCAGTGCTTTCCTTTTAGGTTTATTTAGTTTGTATTTTATGTATATGTGAGTGTTTTGTCTGCATGTGTTTCTGCACCACATTCACTCGTGATGTCCACAGAGGCCAGAAGAGGGCATTAGATCCCCTGGATCTGGAGTTACAGATGGTTGTGAGCCACCATGTGGGTGCTGCGAACCCAACCTGGGTCTTGTGAAAGAACAGCCAGTGCTCTGAATTGCTAAGCCATCTCTCCGGCTTCCACTTTATTTTTTACACTGCATTTTACACATAGATGCTGTGCTTTAAATTAAAATTTTAAATATTTATTTGTGAATGTGAGTGTGTGTATGTGTGTCTTAGTGCCATGACCATGGCATTTGTTTGTTTGTTTGGTTGGTTGGTTTTTCAAGACAAGGTTGCTCTGTATAGCCCTGACTGTCCTGGAGCTCACTCTGTAGACCAGGCTGGCCTCGAACTCAGAAATCCGCCTGCCTCTGCTTCCCAAGTGCTGGGATTAAAGGCGTGCATCACCACTGCTTGGCCTGACCATGGCAATTCTTACAAAGGAAAGCATTTAATTGAGGCTTGTTTACTATTTCTGAGGCTTAGTCCACTGCCATCATGGTGGGGAGCATAGCATTCAGGCAGACATGGCAGCAGAGTGTTCTGTATTCAAATCTAAAGGGAACAGGGAAACAGAGACACTGGGCCTGACTTGAGTATTTGAAACTCCAAAGCCCCCACTGTGACACATTTCCTCCAACAAGGCCACATCTTCTGATCTCTGTCAATCCTCCCCATTCCTTATGGACCAAGCATTCAAGCACAGGAGTCTCTGGGGGATGCACCTATTCAAAACCACCACACACTGCTTCCTAGGCCTGATAGGCTTGGAGCAATATCAGAATGCCAGATGCATTCAGTCCAACCACAAAAGTCCCCAGAGTCTATCACAACTTCAACCCCGTTTAAAAGTCCAGAGTTCAACATCTCTTCTGAAACTCATGCAGTCTCTCAAGTATATCCTTCTATAAAATCAAAATCAAAAAGTAGATCACATGATCCAGCATACAGTGGCACAGACTATACCATTCTACAGGGGAGGAGAGGGAGCTTAGTGAGGAAATACTGAACAAAACAGAACAGAAACCGTGAGAGCAAACTCCAAACTCTGCAGCTCCATGGCTGATGTCACAGCGCCCTGCAGCTCCCCAACTCCTTTCAGCTCCGTTGACTGGAACACACTCCTTTCCCTTGGGCTGGTCCCACTCCCTGTCAGCAGCTTTGCTGGACAGGTGTCCCATTCCTCTGCACCTCTAACCGATTGGGGTCTCCAAGGCAATCCAGTCTTCACCTTCCCAGCTTCACACCGTGCAGGGACAGCCCTCCCACACGCCTGCCCTTCGAGGCTTTCCTTAGCTGCAGGGAGTTTCCACAACCTCTTTCCTGTGTCCCTGACTTAGACAGGTAAGTACAGCCACCAGACACCCCAATACTGACTGCTTCTGCTCTTGTGTAGGGCGCTTCCCCCTCGCCCCAACTGAAGAGTCCTTTGTACCCCCTCCCACTCAGACTGTTGGCCTCCCTTTTCCCTCAGTAAAATCAAGGGCAAGGTGTAGCTATGTAGCCTAGACTTGCCTAGAAATTTGTGATTCTCCTGCCTCAGCTTCCCAAGCACTAGGATGACAGGCGTTGTCCACTGTGCCTGGCTGGTACCTCATCTTTCCAGGGCGTCACACTCCAGCTCTGCTGATCTCCATTTTTTTTTCCTGTTTTTGTTCTCGTGTCTTAGCTGTTGTTGCTTGCTTCTCTCTGCTCAGCATTCTCTTTCCAGTGGAATACCAGTCTCCTCTTTCTCTATGTTTGCCTGCTCAGAAGTCCTCACAGACCCAGCTCTGAGAGGCCACCTTACCTGTGTTTGATTTTCAGTCTCCATCATTTGCACTTGCCTCTGCTGGTATCTGAGTACCACCAGACCCATTACCACAGATTTTGGTTGTGGTGACACACCAGAATCCTGAGCATTTGCACACATGTAAGCAAGGGCTCCATGAAGCCCGTGCCCCTTGTGCATCTGCAGCAACAGCAACAGCCATCCCTAGAAAGCTGTTCATGTTCCTCACAAGAGCATCCCCCCCACCCCCCCCAACCCCCCCCAACCCCCCCAACCCCCCCAACCCACAATCTCATTTCTCTACTTTTCTCCCGCTGACACTATTCCAATCTGTCATGGAAGCCGCTGAGCTGCACCCTGGGAACACGGATCCACTTCACTTGCTTCTGTCTTCAGCTTCAGAAGTTGTCCCTTTCACTGTCGTTTCCCATCCTGATAGTTTGCTCTCAGGTCACTTTCTTGTTTCCTTGGGGGCCCTGTCTGATAGTGTAGCACCCTTTGTTATTCTGTCATGACATCTGCTGTGCTACGTTGGCAGCTGAGATCTCCCTTCTGTTTTGAGCCTTTTAATACTTTCCGTAACACCTTCTTCTTGCCCCTATGTGAGCCTGGCATTCTTAGGTTGCAGAGCAGGTGTTTAAAGAAACCCACTTGCTCCTGCCTTTGCAGCCTGCCTCCCCCCTTTTCTCTCCCCCCAGAAAAGCCCTTCCCTAATCAGCAGACGTGTTTTGAATCTTTCAGTCTTAATGTTGTATCTCTCTCCTTGTATTTTCCAAGTGAGCTTGTGTGCCGAAGTTATTTCAGTCTCTTCCTACACACATGTGCTCTCAAACACAGTGGCATCCTCAAGCTGGACATCAGGCCTTTGCTATGTCTGTGATCCCTGTACACCTCAGTCTCTGAAGCTCCCTGTACCTTCCCATTACACTCTCTCACCTTGGCTCCCAGTCAGGTGCCCCAGATCAGTCTACATGTCACAGACAGCTTAGGACCAGGTAGCTCTAGTTTTCGCTGATCCCTCCAGTCTCAGGAGGCATAAAACTCATGTGTACTCTAGCCCACAGCATCGCTCAAGTAAAAAATGCCAAAATACTGAAATGTTCTTTCTTCTCATTATCCATCTGCACAGCTACACACAGGCCTTGTGAGGCAGGTACTCAGTAGAGGCTGAAGGTACCCTGAGCCTTCCCTCCTGGGTTCACCACAAATTTCCTACCATGGGCAACTATGGCTTGCTCTTGAGAGGACTCACTCTTTGTGATGCTGGTATTTAGCTAATATTTCCAGAGAGAAATAAGGACTCAGATCTTTGAAGTCTCTATCTTTTCTGATACTACCTTCTATTCTCTATTCTTTTAGGAGGTCAGAGTCCATACAAGATGGAGACCCTTGACTCAACAGGATTAAGGTACCTGTCACTGGGGTGGCTTCCATGCTGGCAAATGACAGGCCACGATGTCAAGAAACTGGCCAGCACTCCAGATGTTGTAGTAAACACTCAAGGAAAGAGTTCTCACTTCCTGGAGCAATGCCACTCCTCCTGCCATGGGGGAGCAGAACAGCCTTCCCAGGCCTCCAAGGATGACGGCTGTCTTGAGAGTCTCACAAGCATTACTGAAAATCAGGAATTTCTGTCTGGGAGAAATCAGAGTTCTTGGAGTAAAACACATTTTTGTGAGAGATGGAACTATGAGAAACACTGTCCTCAGACTCTGGTGGACACTAAGTCTCAGCTGCTGGCTCTGGGTGTTGACATTCTGAGTTGCTTTTCCTATCAAGATAACAATATATTGTATAAAAGAGACCATGTCCATAGCAGTGGTGACTATGGTGAAGTCATCTTTCCTTTGTCCTCCCTCACCCAGTCTCCTGTTTACACAGAACAGAAGGCCTACCAGTGCAGCAAGAGCCAAGAAGCCTTCATTGACTGCTCCAGTCAGGAGAGTCATCAGCAGGCCCTCTTAGGAAACAAGTCCCCTGTACATAGTACACACGAGGACACCAGTCATACCTCCAGTGTCCCCATTCAACAAAATGTTCATCCAAGAAGAAAGCGCTACTGGTGTCAGGAGTGTGGCAAGGCTTTCAGTCAGAGCTCAAATCTGCAAACTCACCAGAGAGTGCACACGGGGGAGAAACCCTATACGTGCCCTGAGTGTGGGAAGAGCTTTAACCAGAGCTCACACCTGTATGCTCACCTGCCCATCCACACAGGCGAGAAGCCGTACTGCTGCGACAGCTGTGGGAAGGGCTTCAGCCGCAGCACAGACCTCAACATTCACTGCCGAGTACACACGGGAGAGAAACCTTACAAGTGTGAGGTGTGTGGGAAAGGCTTCACACAGAGGTCACACCTCCAGGCCCATGAGAGAATTCACACAGGAGAGAAGCCATATAAGTGTGGAGACTGTGGCAAACGCTTCAGCTGCAGCTCAAACCTTCACACGCACCAGAGAGTCCACACTGAGGAGAAACCATACAAGTGTGACGAGTGTGGGAAGCGCTTCAGTTTGAGCTTCAACCTCCACAGCCATCAGCGGGTCCACACAGGAGAGAAGCCATATAAATGTGAAGAGTGTGGGAAGGGTTTCAGTTCAGCCTCAAGCTTCCAAAGCCACCAGCGGGTCCATACAGGGGAGAAGCCATTTTGCTGCAGTGTCTGTGGAAAGGGCTTCAGTCAGAGCTCTTATTTTCAAGCCCACCAGAGAGTTCACACTGGGGAAAAACCATACAGATGTGATGTGTGTGGGAAGCGCTTCAACTGGAGCTTAAACCTCCACAATCACCAGAGAGTCCACACTGGAGAGAGACCATATAAATGTGAGGCGTGTGGGAAAGGCTTCAGTCAGGCCTCAAATCTGCAGGCTCATCAGAGTGTCCACACTGGCGAGAAGCCGTTCAAATGCAGTGCATGCCAGAAGCGGTTCAGTCAGGCCTCGCACCTCCAGGCCCACCAGAGGGTTCACACTGGGGAGAAGCCCTACAAATGTGACACGTGTGGGAAAGCCTTCAGTCAGAGGTCCAATCTCCAAGTCCATCAGATAATTCATACCGGGGAGAAGCCGTTCAAGTGTGAGGAGTGTGGAAAGGAATTCAGCTGGAGTGCAGGGCTTACTGCTCACCAGAGGGTCCACACGGGAGAGAAACCCTACACATGTCAGCAGTGTGGGAAGGGTTTCAGTCAGGCCTCACACTTCCACACGCACCAGAGGGTCCACACTGGGGAGAGACCCTACATCTGTGGCATCTGCTCTAAGGGCTTCAGTCAGAGGTCACATCTCGTCTACCACCAGAGAGTCCACAGTGCAGGCAGTCTCTAGGTTTGTTCTATTAGGTAGACTCCATGCTACTGATTGTTAAAAGCTTCCCCCAGCCCAGAGACTTCAGGAGACCTCACCAGGGAGATGTGCTTCTCTTTGGGAAATCAATTTTTTTGTTCTCTCTCTTTCTTTTTTTTTTTTTTTTCTTTTTGAGACCAGATTTCTTGGCTCTTGTGGAACTTGCTCTGTAGACCAGGCTAGCCTTGAGCTCACAGAGATCTACCTGCTTTTGACTCCTGACTGTTGGGATTAAAGGTGTGTGCCCAGTTGGGAGATGAGTTCTTTACAAATGTCAGAAATTACATATGAGAAGATAATTGCTCTATAAATGTATTGCCACCATGTACAAGAGTTGTAAGGTTGCCACCCTTGGGATATGACAGGGCAGGAAAATGTCAGAATCCATCCAAGTCTGCAGAAAGGCTGCAGGAAGGGCTTTAACCAAAGCTGGTGATTGGCAGAACTGCTATTGACCGAAGCATCCCTTCCTCATAGGAAGCGCCCGTCTGTATCTGCTGTGCAGAGCTGCATGTGGCTCAGGACCCAGCCATTCCTGGAGCAAGTGAGAAAAGCCCCTGCAAGACTCAAATTTGAAAACACTTGCCAACCTTCAACCCTGCATTCGTATTGATTCATATTCCCCAGTAGTCTTGTCAGGGGCCTTTAGTCAGCTTCCTTGAGGCATAGTGCTTCCCAGTCAAGTCTGCAGTGTGTGGCCTGCCTCTCTAGCCATGGTGCTTTGCCCAGCATAGCAACTCCATACTGGGTGACTTTCGGTATCTGTACTCAATAGACTAATCCATGCTTTTTTTTTTTTGAATATTTCATATTTATCAGCCCCATAAGATGAATTGAAACTTACTCGATTGGAATTTTGGGCCCTGAATTCACCGAGGAAAGAGCTTTTCACTGTAATCACTACTGCAGATATTTGCTGGTGACAAAAAGGTTCTGAGTAAGCTTGAATTGTTAATGAGTGGCTCCTCCTCCTTCCTCTCCAATCTTAGGTCAGACTCTCCTCCCTGACCAGAGTCGCTCTGCCCTAAATTGTTTAGACTGACTTGTGCTGCTCTCACAGGTTCTCCAAGGCTGTATCTCAGATAAAGAACAGAGTCATTGTTTACAGGTCCAGGGCTCTGAAGAGCAAGGGTCCAGCAGGGTATTACTGTGTCATCTGATAGCAAGGGGTGTGCAGGAACGATGCAGAAATGGCTGGACATCCCAGTGTCCACACCGTGGCTCACAAGAGCTGTAACAACAGTTTCAGGGGATCTTGTGCCCTCTTCTGACCTCCAAGAGCAACACACACACACACACACACACACACACACACTGCATATTCATACAAATATTGATTCACATAATAAAACAAACCTTAAAGATGCAGGGATTTTGCAGGACCTCCTACCGTTACAGCCTGTGCTCCCTTGTGAGGCAGTGTCCTCCTGACAATCACTGCTCCAAGTGCTGGCTCTTAAATCTCAGGATGAAGAAAAGAGGAAGAAGAAAAAGAGAAAAGCCAAGGAGGGCTTCACATCTAAACCCTAAGGCTAAGACAGGAGGATGTAGAATTACAGGCAGAGCAGAGGGACTGTGCCAGAAAACAAAAGTGTGACTTTACTGGCTCTGTGCTAGTTACGGAGCTGACCTTTTTTTTTTTTTTTTCTTTTTGGTTTTTCGAGACAGGGTTTCTCTGTGTAGCCTGGGCTGTCCTGGAACTCACTCTGTAGACCAGGCTGGCCTCGAACTCAGAAATCCGCCTGTCTCTGCCTCCCAAGTGCTGGAATTAAAGGCGTGTGCCACCACTGCCCGGCCGGAGGTGACCTTCTTATAGCATGAGCAGTGGTTCCTGCTCCCCACCGGGAAGGAGTTAGGTCAAATCCCTTGTGTGTACAAAGTGCTCAGAGAGCAACAGCTTCATTTCCCGTATTCTCTGCACTTCATCCATATGAAGCTCTGAATTTTCAGCAGCTCACCCAGGCCTCCCTCTTGAACTCTCCAAGAGTTCTTTTTGGGCTCTTTTGTCAGTACGGTTTTTATTTTATTAATATTTTTTTTTTTGCGAATGTATTTCCAAAGTCCCTCCTGTTTGTGGTTTCTGGATGAGGTTTATCTAGCCCTGATGGTAGGCATAAATTTTTTGCAACCTACTTTTAATAAACGTTCAATCTCCTTTCTAGCCCACTGTCGTGTTCACACTTATCCCGCAAAGAAAACGCACACACGAGCTCTTCTCCAAGCAGTTTATTCAGGACCTTGAATAAGCTTCTGACTGACGACCCCGGGGGAAGCCTCTCCCAGGCTTAAGTACTCTAGGAATAGCCTACCCCCATCTGCCATGTGGCAACAGCAGATAGGCCCACATACAGGGAAGCAAGCCAGATCACCAGTCACAGCCAAATAAGGACTTGTTTACTCCTGAGAGTGCTCGCCAACAGGTGGTGGAAGACAGAGACCGGCGCCATCTTAAGGGTGTGGTACTATGCAGCTCTCCACAGTTCCCCCTTTTTGTTTTGGTACGAAACAGGTGAGAGTAGAGGTCTGATCTCAGGAAGAACAACGGACATTGTACTAGCCCTTCCAAGGTATCTCTACCCAGACAGTGCCAGACCCATCCAGTACCGATTTTTTCTGAGGCGGGAGAGATTGGATAAATTGGGGGAAAGGACGGTACTAACCCGCATCTATCAGACTTGCTCTCCTTGAGGCTGCGAGCAGCTGACAGTGCAGTGCTTAGCCTCGCAACCTGAACGTGACGACTCAAGGCTTAATGGCTGCCAGCCAAACTTGGGGGGACTGTCCGGCCTCAAAGGCTGCAAAGGCTTGAACAATCATGCCTGCGTTCCGATGCTGTGTAGGTCTGATCTTACAGATAATCCACAGGCAGACAAAGGAGGCTAATACTATGAGTATAGCCAAGGAACCCAAACCCGCCCACTCTTTCAAATGATCCACAGCTGATGTCTGTCTGTCAAGGAGAAAAGCATCAATCTAAGAGAGGTCGCTCCCCAGCAACAGAGTAGTCCCTTAAGAGAAAATGTTGCCTTACAGCTGGGACTAAGCCTTTCTTTTCAAATAAAAGAAAAATACATCTTTCTGAATTAATGCTAGAGAAATCCCCTTTTCCTGCTGGCTCAGATTTAGCACAAAAGTGGCATTTGATTAAACAGCATACCGCTCCTGTGAGCCCACATTCATCATTTTTTGATACATTTGATCCATCACTGGTGTAATCCACGAAGTCAGTCCTGTAGCCAGAGATAGGTCCACTCTCGTGGAATTAACATGGACTATTGCGAATCTCAACTCCCTCAGGGTTTCTTCGAATTCCAAGCCCCAATTCTGTAATAAGACCTGTGACAGAGTTTTAGAGATAGTTGCTGCATGGGTAAAATTATGATACTGTATAGAAGTAATGGACAGGCCAGTCATTTTCCATTCACATCCTAGCTGCGCCAGTTGCCAGAGGGTATCCACTTGTTCCTGTACTAGGTCAATTCTCTGACTGACCAGCATCAATCCTCCCTTTATTTGAGAATTGATGGAAGCTTGCACGTCCAGGGTAGTAGCCACATTGGAGGATAGGTTATTCAAGGTCTCTGCAGTTTGTATGGAACTGGATAAGGCAAGAGCTGAGGCAGTGGTGGTGGCGCCAATGGCTGCTATGGTAACAACGGCAACAATGGCTGCCATGATGACAAAAGCCCTTTTTAGTCTAAATAGTTGTAGGCTGCTAGGAGCCTCAGCTGGCACTGGCACATAACGAGGCATGCGAGTAATAATGCCAACCTGATAAAGAGTGGCATTCCAGCATAAGGTATAAAAACATGTTTCAGGAGTGCATTGTAGCTCTCCCTTAGCAAAAACACTACTATTACTGACTACCACAAGAATGGGGGCCAGACACACACCGGGGTAGGTGTGAAAACAGTCCTGCTCATTTCCTGATAAGTAACCTGGTCCCTCTGCCAAGAAAACCTACCAGATGAACTTCCTGATCTTAATATATCAGATAGACTTCTTTTCCAGTCATATCTTAGAACTCCTTTACCCAGGCTACCTCCGCCCAGCATGGCCAGGGGGGACAAATCTGTGCAGCTCCCATTAATGCCACACAGAAGCCACAAATCAAAAGGATTAATACTACTCTTATCTAGACCCCCAGCAGTAAAATCGGGGCCAGGATAGGTTGCATTAAATTCTACGCTAATATATGGGGAAAAAGAAAAATAATTATGTATAACCCATGTGGCTTTTCTACTCTGACAACCTGTCCATGGAAGTGGGCCACTTTCTTCCACGGCTCCCTGGCAAAAGGGGGCCCAACGTGGTTGAGCAGGAGGGCAAATATGGCCCTCCCGGCTGGGCCACCAGCCTATAGGACAGATGCATTCGCCTTCATTTCATGGCTAGTGCCCCAATATGCTTCTTTCATCCATGCAGCGGATTGATTATAAATTTTAATGCAATCACTTGTATCTGATAAATTTCTAACCATGTAAAAGCACAGTCTGCCCTGTAGTTTTAGGCTTCTATTACTTTCTGTGCTACTAAATTGGCTATCATAGGGTAAGTAAGCCATTCCCAAGCTTCTATTGGTGTTAAACAAGCGAGGGAACACTTGTGCATTGTACATCACTGGCATCGGTTTTGGGAATACCGATAGGATCCCCCATCTCGGCTCTGCTGTCCCTGATGTCACTGTCATCATCATCGCGAGCCTCAGGAGGGTCTTCATGGCGAACCTTCCACACCAGGCGCTCGGGCACCCACACTGGATCTTGCTGGTCCTGAGGAAAAACACAAACAGAACCTCGTGCCCATGTCAGCCCGGGATCAGGCCCTCGCCAGGAGCCTGTCAGGATATCCTTCCATTTCACCATGCCCTTAGATGGACCATGTAAGTCCTGATGTCTGTCCTCTGCTGAGTGGCCATGAACATCCAAATTTTAAAAATTAAGAGTAAACAGAGCTAATGATATTCTTTCTTTAGGGGTCCGGCCTTGGCCTATTCCCCCTTTTTGTTTTTGTAGACATTCTTTTAAGGTGCGGTGGGCACGCTCCAC